GTGTGTGTGTGAGAAGTGCATTGTGGGCAGTAACTCCCCTCAGTGTAACCAGCAGCCACTAACCCTCCATTACGGCTCTATTCCCGTCCCGCCGTCACGCTGCCACTGTCGGGTTATTTCAGGGTTTTATTTTGAAGCAGTGAAGTTCTAAAAGAGACAATCAGCAGATTCACAGGAAACAAAGTTCAACCAGCGAGAGAGACAGGACGCAGACAGACAGCTGCTGAGCCCCGCTGACTATACACAGACTATATAAAAGTCTCTTTTATCTTTTAACCATCTTCATAATGTGGTTGTCCCTTCAACAGACATTAGCTTAGCATTTAGCCTTTCTAGGTACAGGAAGGAGGAAGTTGAGGTTCCCAAAAGGGGGCGGGGCTTATGAAGTTAATTGATTGGACAATTAAACATTTAAAGGACCTTTTAAAATCCCTGGAAGTCCTTCTGAGGGACTGAGGACCCGGACTTTAACCCCCCCCACAGCCCTGCAGCCCCGAGGAAGAGGAGGATGAAGATGATGATGATGAGTTTAACAGCTGTCAGGTTTTGGGGGGGAAGGGAGCGCGAGCCGCTCTGCTGCTGTTGAGAGACTCCATCAAACATCATCCGCGCGCTACCGTAAACCTGTCAGGTGAGGCAGAACGAGACCGGAAATACAAATGCAGCGCCTTCACAATAAAAGCTACAATGTTTGAATTTGTTTCTTTAAATTTCACTCTGCCTAAATAAAACCTCCAACAGCTAACAGACATATTATATATAATATATATTATAAATAATATGTTACCTTACAGTGTTGTTGTTTGTTGGGATCTGATCAACCTAATGTGAATAAATATATAGGTTTATAATTCAATTCAATTTTATTTTTATTTGTATAGTACCAATTCATAACAGAAGTTATCTCAGGACACTTTTCAAATAGAGCAGGTCTAGACCGAACTCTTTAACATTAATTACAGAGACCCAACAGTACCACCATGAGCAAGACCTTGGAGACAAGGGCAAGGAAAAACTGCCTGTTAAAAGGCAGAAACCTAGGACAGATCCTCCGGCTCTAGGTGGGTGGTCGTCTGTCTCGACCAGTTGGGGTGAGAGAGAGAGAGAGAGAGAGAGAGAGAGAGAGAGAGAGAGAGGGTGAGAGACAGTAGCACAGCAACAACAGTAGCAACAACTACACTAATAGTAGTAGTAGACTGATGAAGATGAACATGACAACAGCAACAACAGTAACCGTAGCGACGACGTAGATTATTTCCAGGATATTTGGTTTCCAGGTGTTTCCAGGATGCGTAGGAACCATTAACATATACAAATATACAACTGAAGCATTCTTAAAGCTCACATAAATATTATATATCAAAATATATTATATATAAATAAGCAAAATAAAAATATTCACTTACTTGTAAAAGTCTATAATCTGTATGTATTTATTATTATTACTGCTGGATAATAATGGAAGCAGTATGTTTATGTTTTACCTGTTTGGTGTAAAGTGCCAGGTTTTCCAGGTTTTCCAGGATGTGTTTGAACTGATGTTGTGTTAGACTGACTTTGTCAACCTCACTTTAAAGACTGTTTTACTCAAAAACTGGATTTTATTTTGAAGGATTCAACCGGATGTTTGCTGTTTTACTGTGACACGCTTGACTGCGGGGTCTCGTGCCTGTTTTCAGTGCAGCAGCGCGAGCCGCTCAGCTGTTTAAACCCGGTTGAGTCCAGATTCAGACTTTAAGATAAGAACGGAACCAATGTCTCAGTCAGGAAACTCTGCTTTTATTTTTATGTAAAAGTTCTTCAAGAGAGTTTCCCGGTGTTTTTCCCGGTGTTTCTCTGTGTTTGGGTCGGTGAGAGTCCGGGTTTTAAACGTCCTCGTTCTGGGTTGTTCTGTCCCGGTGAACCGGAGAAAGAACCGGACCCACCCGGCATCACCCGTCCGGTCCCGGTGCCGGTGTTTGGAGCCAGGCGGATCCCAAAGAGAGGTCACAATGTCGGGGATGAGTGGACTGCTCCTCCTCGGTCTCTGGATCAACCTCCACACATGCCGGGCCCTCCCCAACCAGCTGCCCGCCCTCAGCACCGCGCCGCCCGGCCAGCTCTCCCCCACCGCCCCGCTGTTGGAGGCCGACGGCTGCGGGCCGTGTGAGCCCGACCTGTGCCCGGAGACCCGCGGCTGCCGGGCCGGCCTGGTGCTGGACTCCTGCGGCTGCTGTAAGGAGTGCGGGAACCTGGAGGGACAAACCTGCGACCCGGGGGACCGCAGCGTGTTCTACGGGCTGTGCGGGACCGGGCTGCGGTGCCAGAAGGACCCCCGGCCCGCAGGAGGAGGAGGAGGAGAGGATGAAGAGGAGGAGGAGGAGGAGGAGGAGGAGGTGTGTGTGTGTGAGGAGCAGGAGGCGCTGTGCGGCTCTGATGGAGTCACTTACATCAACATGTGTCAGTTCAGAGAGGCTGCGTTCTCCAGACCGGAGCTCAAGACCAGAGGGAGGGGGCCCTGCAAGACCGGTAGGTCCTGTCTGTCTGTACACCTGTCTGTCTGTCTGTCTGTCTGTCTGTAAACCTGTCTCTCTGTATACCTGTCTGTCTGTATACCTGTCTGTCTGTAAGCCTGTCTGTCTGTACACCTGTCTGTCTGTCTGTAAACCTGTCTCTCTGTATACCTGTCTCTCTGTATACCTGTCTCTCTGTATACCTGTCTGTCTCTCCTCCTGTCTCTGAGATCATCAAAACAAAAAAGTATAAAAATATAAATATTGAGTTGATGTTAACTTTTATATTGTAACTTTGAGTATAATTAACTAGATTATAAATTAATTAATTAAAGTTATAATTTCATTATGTTGGATATCTTCTGTATTTGTAATTAAATAAACAGAATTCTGATGTTTTAAGTTAATTGCTACAAAACCAAGGACGCAATTAAATCGAATCTAATCATTTTATTACAAACTTCATTATAATAATGTTTGTCACAATTTATAACTCAATATCAGGGGGCATAGGGGCAATATCTATCAATAATCAGAAGCAGGTAATTATCGGTCATCGTGTCACTGATATCACCCAGCACCTAATCAATCAATTACTGAAAAATCAATCAACTTAAAACTAACTTCAGAGATACTGGAGCTCCAACTAACGATGATATTGATTATTGATCGATCAGTCGGTCGCGTTCTCCATTAATCGATTAGTCTCCTGATGAGATATTTGTTGTGTTAATGTTTATCGTAATTTTTTCCTTAAAAATGATTTAAAACGATGAATTGATCCCTGATCAGCCTCCGGCTCCGAGTGGAGGAGGACGGCAGCGAGTGTATCCTGATACTGTCTGATTGAACCAGTTCATTAATGGATCCAGTGTGAACACATTCACTGGAATCAGCTGTTTAAATAAAGTCTCTCATCTGTTTTCAGTCTGACTCTTTCCACCGTCAGTCGGACTAAACGAGGCCACTCTGGGCATTTTGTTTTTCTCTCTGGTTCTGTGGAGACAGAAGGAAACCCGAGACAGATGTGTGATTTATGGAGAACCAGCTTCATGAGTTCCTGCTCTGGTTTTCCCTCCAGCTGTGACAAACATTCAGCTCTCCACCGCTGCCAAGGAAATGCTTCACTTTACCGTCTGTCTGTCTGTCTGTCTGTCTGTCTCTCTACAGTCTGCTGTTACAGCGAGAGTCCAAAGAGTCTTAACCAACACATGTTGTCCAAATGTGCCAATATGTCCCATTCATTTCCAGATGGGAGTTTCTGAAACAAACCAATGTCAGAAAAGTAGTTTAATGTCTCTATAATAACCTGTGTGTGTGTGTGTGTGTGTGTGTGTGTGTGTGTGTGTGTGTGTGTGTGTGTGTGTGTGTGTGTTACTGTGTGTGTGTGTGCGTGTTACTGTGTGCGTGTTACTGTGTGTGTGTGTGTGTGTGCGTGTTACTGTGTGTGTGTGCGTGTGTGTGTGTTACTGTGTGTGTGTGCGTGTGTGTGTGTTACTGTGTGTGTGTGCGTGTGTGTGTGTTACTGTGTGTGTGTGTGTCGTGTTACTGTGTGTGTGTGTGTGTGTGTGTGTGTGTTGTGTGTGTGTGTGTGTGTGTGTGTGTGTGTGTGTGTGTGTTACTGTGTGTGTGTGTACTGTGTGTGTGTGACTGTGTGCGTGTTACTGTGTGTGTGTGTGTGTGCGTGTTACTGTGTGTGTGTGTGCGGGGTGTTACCGGTGTGTGTGTGTTACTGTGTGTGTGTGCGTGTGTGTGTGTTACTGTGTGTGTGTGCGTGTGTGTGTGTTACTGTGTGTGTGTGTGCGTGTTACTGTGTGTGTGTGTGTGTGTGTGCGTGTTACTGTGTGTGTGTTACTGTGTGTGTGTGTGTGCGTGTTACTGTGTGTGTGTGTGTGCGTGTGTTACTGTGTGTGTGTGTGCGTGTGTGTGTGTTACTGTGTGTGTTACTGTGTGTGTGCGTGTGTGTGTGTGTGTGTGTGTGTGTGAGCAGACAGTGAACAGGTTGTAGTGTAGCTTTGTTCCTCTGCTGTCTGTGGACTGATCTCTATGTGTCTCTATGTAGGTTGAGGGTCAAAGGTTGTGACCTTTATGCTCCCGTCCACAACACAGAGCTAACATTAATGCTAAGCTAGTGGAACATATTGTCTGATTGTGCTGTTAGCTGGATAACGTTAGACAAAAATACTGTCAGTTAGCTTCATCCAGACTCCTGGGGTTGTCCTTCTGGCTGTTGGTGTTGCATTGTGGGTCTGGCGTTGCATTGTGGGTCTGGCGTTGGCTGATGGCTGATGTGTAAACAGCGAGCTAGTTATTAGCATTGAGCTAACAGTCTAAATAAAATAAAGGATCATTGCAGATAGAAACGTTATTAAATATGATCGTCAGTTATTTTACAGCGTTCACTGTTTGTTGGTCGACTCCCAGGATGCAGTTCACTGAGCGACCACTGGAGGCGCTGTTAGCTTCAGTCTAATGACATTTCAACGGTCACATGAAGTAACCAGAGTT